GTGGTTGCTTTGTTGCCACATTGGAGTCTCGCCATTGCTCTTGAGTGAATAAGGATCACAGTAATGGCTTTAACCCTTTACACAAGATGAATTTCCCACCCCACCACCCATCTTCTCTCTCTCCGTCTCTCTCTCTCTCTGTCTGTCTGTCTCTCTCTCTACCCCCTCTCTCTCTCTCTATCTCTAACCCTCCCCCCCCTCCCTCTCTCTCACTCTCTCTAATGATAATCCATTTTCTACCCTTGAGAAATTATAGTAATCAGCCTGGTGAATGCGCAGAACTCATGAAGACTCTCTTAACTCTCCCGACTGGAAGCTTGCCAGACAGCGCTCCCACTGGCGCTTCTCTCTCCTGACATCCTGGCCGAAAATCCCCCCTCGCCCCCCCCACCCCCCAACCCCCCAGCTAAAATCAGTCATTCACTTCACGGCTGTTTGGGGGACGTCGCTGTGCGTCAATTGGCTGCCGTGACGACTTACTACACACACACACCACACACACAGTCGGGACACTTTAGGTCGTCTCAAAGGGCTTCGCAGGATTTCACATTAAACAACAACAAATTACAGAGCTAGAGAGCGATGGTATACTTTGGGTCACCCTCCTACCCCCCACCCTCCTTGCCCTCCAACCCTCCTGATCCCAACCACCAGCTCGGGTCCAAATCCCCGACTGTCCAGCGCTCTGGGACGTCCTCTCGACACGAAAGGTCCCCACGTGAATGCCATGTGTTGTCGTCGTTGTTGGACGTGAAATCCTGCAAAGTGCTTTGAGACGTCCTCCCAATGGCGGGAAAGGCGGTCTGAGAGAGGTGAGGAATACTGTACACGGAGTAACAGACACAAAGCTGTTTGTCGCCTCCTCGGCTACAGCACATTCCATTTCCCAACCCTGGTTTCCCAACAGCCGCTGTGTCTGTCTAAGCCATGTTATGCTCTGCTAACAGTTCCCAGACCCAACAGCCGCTCACATCCAGTCGAAAGCCACCCTCCATACGCACACCCACACGCACACAACACACTAATCACACACAACACGCACACTACACACACACAAACACGCACGCGCGCACACACGCGCGGACACTCACACGTCCTGTTAAACCTCTAAGCTTTCCCAAATCTAACTGGTCTCCAGGCATAATAATAACAATAATATACCATCTTTGATCCAGCGCCTTATTGCGCCTTCGCCTCAAAGCGCTTCATATAACAGACTGTAAACTGGATTGACTGTGTATTTTGCTCTTTGGAAAGCTGAAGAGCGAGAGAGAGAGAGAGAGAGAGAGCGCGAGCCCCGGCTTATCTGGTCATTCACTCCTCACAGCTCTCCTCCGCACTCACTGCCTTCGGGGAGTAAGGGTAAGGGGGTGGGGTGGGGGACTGGTCATCTTATCTCAGGGTGACCAGAGCTGTGCTCAGTAACTCCAGGTGTGACCTGACCAGCACTCTGTGCATCTTAGGTGTGATTTCTGTGCGTGTGGGTTGGTGAGCCAGGCATTGCCAGTGTGTGTGTGTATGTGCGTCTGTGTATATCTGTGTGTGTGTGGGTCTGTGGGTGTGTGGGTCTGTGTGGGGGGTGGGGGGGGAGTGAAGGGGGGAATCTGAACTCAACCAAGTTGGCAACATCAGTGGGGGCCAGGATCCAGTGATCCTCTCCTCACGAGACTCCACACGAGGTTCGAACATGTTAAGGTCAATATCCAGGTCAAAAACACGCACACGTTCCCTCCAGACAGACTGGGACCAAATAACACAGCTTTTCCAGTCAATAGTTCAACGTCCTCGTGTTACATCCCAACACTGGGACCAGGAACCCCCCCACCCATCACCGTGTGAAGCCCCCACACCTTTCTCCCTCCCTCCCTCCCTCACTCACTCGCACGTTGTTGATGTTATTTTTAAGCATTCTTTTTAACAACATTTCTTAACCCTCAAACCCCTATGTCGGAGCTGCAGGAAAAGCGTGCGGTGGGGTGGGGGGGAGAGGGAAGCCCAGCTTGCGAATAAAGTCCAGGTTTTAAGCGTTTGCCACAATTCTGCACCGTCTAGAAAACAACAACTTGCATTTACACAGCGCCCTTCACACAGGGCAGCGTCTCACCGAGAGCTTATTAGCTGAGGTCGGGATGAGAAAGTGAAGGTTACTTAACAGTGGCAACTTCGAACATCCACTTTCATTCTTTCCCTTCTCTCTCATACTGGATTCCTGCAGCTCAGTGGTTAGAGCACTCGCCTCGCAAGCGAGAGACCTGGGTTCTGTTCCCGGGCAGCTCAGGGCGAAGCCTTGGGCAAGTTTCCTTACTCCACACACACGCGCCTCTGTTTACCGGCAGTAAGTAGGAACCCGGTTGTTAGTCAATCGGCGGATCGCTTTTCCGAGGGTAATAATCCTTAAAAAAAATAATAAGTTGGTCACTCAATCCACGACTGTGTGTGGGACGCTGCTGTGTGCAATTGGCTGCGGGTTTCGCCCACAAAATATACAGTCAATTCACTTTACAGTGTATTCTGTGAAGCGCTTTGAGACATCTCGAAGATGTGATAAGGTCAAATGCCAGGATTATTATTATTATAGGCCAGCTCTGTTCCGGCTGTACCATTCCCTCACACTTTCTTTGACGGGCACCATTTCTGGTAAAGTGAAGAAAGTGTGCAGAAAAACACACACACACCAGGGCTGAGGGTATCTGCGTTGCTGTTTCCTCCTGTCAGCTTGACAAGCTATTCAGAGCGAGAGAGACATTAGGTGTGTTGTGCCCTCCTGTGATTGAGATTCCGCAGCCCAGGGAAAGCTTCACCAAATGGCTTCAACTTTTGCGGGTGATTTATTTATTTGTTTGGGTGATCCCGATTTATTCTTTTAATGCAGTATTTCAGCGGGTCCAGAATTTGTGCTGTGGCAAAGTCTTTGTTGCCGTCGTCCTTAATTTTGAAGCCTGTTGTTTGCCTTCCAAGTTTTATAATAATAAGTTTTATAATAATAATAATAGTTTTATAACAATCCTGGCATTTGACCCAGCGCCCGATCACGTCTTCGAGACGTCTCAAAGCGCTTCGCAGAGTACACTGTAAAGTGATTGACCGTGCATCTTGTGGGCGAAACGCGGCAGCCGATTGCGCACAAGCAGCGTCCCCACAAACAGGCGCGGATTGAGTGACCGCATTATTATTTGCTTTAATTTAATTTGTGTTGTTATTGTAAGAACTAAGGAAAACGGGCTTAGGCATTGAAACGGAATCCAACAACTTGTCAAATGCTGCAAAGCCCCAGACTGTAAAGATTGCAACACATAAATAAGAGTAAACGTGGACCCAAACGGGATTCTGCCCCATTACACGAGGAAGGGTTCCATATAGACGAGGCCGTCTATATTCCACTCTCCCTCGACAGTGGTGCTTTACTGTCATCTGGTGGAGATGACAGGCATTTATTTCCTCTTTGCCGCAACGCCAATTTTGAGAGAAATCCCGTCAGTATATGGGGGATGCGAATCCTCACTGTGATATTGTAATAATCCTGGCATTTGGTACAGCGCCTTATCACCTCCGAGCGCTTCACAGAAACATACTGCGGAGTGGAGTGGCTGTACGATTTCTGCGGGCAACCAAAACGTGGCGGCCAATTGGGCACCGGGTGCGTTTAACACCCACCAACCCAGAGACGGGGGTCGATTCTCTCCGCTCGGAAATAACATCCCTCCCAGCGGCGCTACTGGAAAAGCCTTCGAAAGCTCTCGCCAACCTGCGGCTTGCGGATCAGCCCGGCTCAGCTGGTCGCACTTCGCTTCTCTGGGGCAGATTTATGTGTTCCGAGCCCCCCACCCCCCCCTCCCGTCAGTGGACTTGGAGCTCAGTCAAGGCTGACGGCTTCGGTTTAGTGCTGGAGGGAGCAACGCATGGTCAGAGGTGCTTAGGGAAGCCTGACGGACATTCCAGGGGGATGTGTAATTATGTGCCTGGAGTCGGAATGAATGGAATAAAATCCTTATCATTTTATCTCTCAGATTACTGCCGGTTGGATGGCACACTGGCCACCCGGGAGGCGCCTTCATACAGCAAATGGTAAAGAGCTATTTAAGGATACACATTCCTACGTGCTCAGTGTCGGAGTCATCTGCAGATTATTGGCGGAGCAAACTCTTTAAGTTTGCGCAGCATTTCAGAGCAATCCAGAATTTGGCAGTTCTTAAACCCAGCCTTGGGTTTTGAAACTGTACATTCCTTTCGAACAAACCTGCGGAGGTTTCAGAGTTCAGACTCGAGCTAAAACAATGTGCTAAATGCTCCGAAACGCTCACCGATCTCCGCCCGGGGAAGGATTGCTCCACACAAGGGTAGTAGCAAATGGTTCGACAATAAAACTCCTTCGTAATCCACTTGGGACTCGCACAAGGTTCAAAAAGGGCACGTTTGCCGATCACCAACACCACTCTCTAATGGGATTCGCCTCTTGGGCTGAGAGAGATGCAGACAGAGGGTTTGATACGTAAGACTGTTATCTTAAGAGTCGATCACTATGTCAGTCACGTTACGTTATTCGATAGAACTGGGCTTCCTGCTTTAATGCTCATCACATCAAGTCATTGAGGATTTATTAGGCCGTTTGGCACTGAAACACCACAGCTGTGGCGGTGTTATGCACAATGTGCATCGCTGCCCCAGTTGAAAGCATAGTAGTAAATATGAAGCAATCTCTTTGCTCTAACACCACTATTCCACTGGGCGTGAAGCGGTGCGGACAGATTTGCATGCAACTTTTTTTCCAGATTTATGCAGAGAGAATATTACTGTAAGGAAAGTGCCTGTCGCGTCCTGTCCTGTTTTGCCTGAAGCTGCTGAAGGTTATGGAAGATCATCTCGTCTATCCCCACCCCCCAACGCCATTTTCCTTTTATGAGCAGCGTAACCCGCGCTGGAAATATTGTCGGGATTTGCAGCCTGGATTCCTGGGGCTGCAGGTAGGAAATGAAACGATATCCCAACAATCACCCAAGAAATGTTTCCACAATATTTTAATTTACTTATTAAACATTAAGAAACATACAAAAACCACCAGCCAAAAACACGGGGACTGTTTCGCAAACTGGCATGGAAATAATTTGTGCAAACAATCCGCTGAGAATTTCTGACAATAGATGTTTCACAGTGACGTGTGTCCAGTAGATAAATTTGGTCTGTATTCACACTGTCAAACAAAAATATCTATTGAATTTAAGGACGGAATAAGTCCTATTGCACACTTGGAACCAGACTTGGCAGAATCTTCTGCGTCAACACAAATACTTGGACACGAGCCCTTTTCTTTGAAAACATACAAATCAAACATCACCCACAGGTTAGTCAGATACAGTACATTTGGTACTCCCAGAGCTGTGGACCACAGTAAACTCCCAGATTCCTTCTCACTGCACATACAGCAAGTTATGTATTCTCAAGCGAGAAAGGTCTCTTAAAAGACGATGTATAAATCAGCACTGAAGCTGGATTCACATTAAACAGAAATCTCGTGTATAACAACAAAATTACATTTTGTTTAGCGCCTTTCACGTCGGGAGCGCTGAAATCAGCCAATTAGAACATACTTTTTTTTTTAAATCGAATGGTCCGCTGCTCCCACTGGCGATCGGGCCTTAGTTCAGCCTTTCTGCCCCCACCCTCTGGAATTCCACTGGCAAACGATTACCTTTTTGTTTGCCCGATCGCCATCACATTGCAAGTATCAAGCTTTTAAAATTCAAAGCAGATATTTTATTTGGCTGCTTCACCATTAAACTCTTACTTCTGGGGTTGCCATTGGCAAACCTGTACGTTTCTCTTTGCCTCCACCCTCCCCCACCCAACGACAATGGATCAGGATCTAGCAATACTTTGGGCGAGCGCAAAATCATCCAAAAAACAGCTCCTGTATAGCGCCTCTCACACAGGGCAGTGCTTGTGAGTGGTTAGAAGCAGCAATTATCCAGGCTGATCTGGTTTGCCGAGTTCTGAGCAGCCAAACACGCACTATGTTGTAAATATGTCACCGTCCATCTGTCAACACCAGTGCCTCCCTCAATCTATCATCAACAACAGGGGAGAGGAGACAGACACTGTGAAACTCCAATCCACCTTGCAGGCTTTTAAAAAAAAACAAGGTGGAAAAATACTGTAGTTTACAAACAGTTAAGTTTTCACATGTCAGCGCTGTGGAACAGTAAACAGCACTGCAGGTTTCAAATGGATCAGCGCAATCACTGATGGTATCACATATTCCCAGGCAGCGGAGACAATTTGGAATTAAATACTGGACTGCATTGTACAAAGGTTTAATCAAGGTCTCTTCAATCCTGACACCTTGCAGCTTCACCTCAGCACCTTCCTGGTCTAATGGCTGTGAAGGCTGCTCACCTTTTAAAGAAAAAAAGAAAACAAGGTCATTGTAGATGCAGCCGCTAAGTTACACAGTGCAAGTCAACTGTGGAAATTCAGTTCTACACGCAGAGCAGATCTCAGCCTCAAAAACTAACAGAAAGACATTTATTTATTCTTAATTGAGGCAACCACATAAAACTGTTCCAAGCGAGTAACTCAATCCATGACTGTTTGTGGGGCACCGTCGCGTGCAATTGGCCGCCGGGTTTCACCGACAAAATAGTCAATGCACTTTACAGTATAATCCTGTGAAGCGCTTTGAGACGTTTCAATGACATGATAAAGCACTGTATCAAACGCAAGGATTATTATTGATTGTAAACAAGGAAAAAAAATTATGACCAGATTAATGACTAGATAGCAATTCTCCTACAAAAACCCCAACAACATACCAGCTAACGAAAGCTCTCTCTCCTGTCCCACAATCGGTTACCCCAGTCACTGGACCAACAGCGCCACTTTATTGACGAAATGTCCCATTGGAGGCGAGTCCTAATTCACCCTGCAATAGCAAAAATGTGTTGAATTTTATTCAGGTATACTGGGCGCACTTTACAAACATCTCAGGAAATGCTGAACTTTTCAACAGAAGGACATGACTAAAAATGTAGTAACTTTTTACATTTTTTTTCACAAAAACACTTTGGACTCGAGTCACTAACAAAGGCAAATCCTATTTAGGAGAATGAATTGAGCCACAAACAGCAAAAAGCTTCCAATTTCTCTGGGGGAGGGGGGGGAAGAGATGCAGCAATGTTTTAGGGTGCTCAACTTTGTTAACCAATGAAGTACAATATAGCAAGCAACTGAATGAAGCAGTTATGGTAAAGGTTTGTTGGGTGTTCTTTTATATTGGGAGTCAGATTCTTCTTACGAGGACTGACTCGATGAAAATAAAGGAAAATCTTTCACAAGCATTTCAGAAGTGTTTTGAATGGTCAATGTAAACTGCTCACGAGAGCAAAAGGAGTTACCTCAAATCTACGACTATATCCACATTTGCACTTAGCCATGTGCAGTTTTCATCTCAGGTTTCACTGAAGAAGGAACAACACTTCGTTTTTTCTCCATGGCCATTTCTTTCCAAAAGCTAGCAAAGATCCTTAAAAGTTGTGAAGCGTTACACACACCTTGAACACCTTCCTGAACACTGAGCATTGCATTGAATTGAATTTAGCCATGCCCCACGTTTTACACACTCTAGCAACACACACATGGTATTTACATGGTTTTACCACCCTTAAAACTTCTATTTAGACTATCAAAAGTCCCAGGACTAAATTACCTAATTTCACCAACACAACAAGAATGAAGCTTCAGAGTGAGGGAAAAAAATTCCAGTTAGTCACTAATACTCTGCCTCACGGAATTGTTAGGATGCTACAAGTTTCAAACTAACACACGTGAGGAAAAGGAACAGGAAGTTTGTGAATTAAATTGCAGTTAGCCTCTTGAAACTTAACACTAAAGATTCTCTCCAAACCAATTTGGTAACGGTAAGTGGTGAACAATTCCAACTTGTAACTTGCCCTCACTGCACGAATGAAGAGTTCATTTGGAGCCTGAGGTTTTCTGCTGAAAATGAAGCTTAATAGGCAGTGCCAACATCCAGTTTCTGGAGTACTTTTCAATCAGGTACGGATTGCTTCAATGAATCAAATGCCGATTGCATATTAATTGAGCAGTACTGACCGTTTTCTAGTATGTGCACAACTCCATTGAGGAAAAAGGATTTTGTACAAGATAGTACAATCATGACACAAGTATACCTTGAGCAACTTTTTTTGTACTCAGGTGCACCTTGTACACCTTATTTTGCTGTCAGATTAAATGGGATGTCAACTGTAGTGACAACAGATCTACAAGACTTCACTGCTGACCCTGGCCTGCTTTCTAACCCACAAAAGCCCTGGACTGCGTTTTACCATTACAAATTGTGATTTAACTACTCCCCCAAAAAGTTCCTTTCTACTTGAACTCTATATCCCATCCCACAAAAAACTAGCTACAGGAACTAACTAGCTGTACATCCCATCCCACAAGAATCCAACTACAGGAACATCAGGGTACAAGTCATTTTTGTTTTAATGAGGCTTCGTAAAGCCTTATCCAGTACAAAAAGGTCAACTCTAAACCACTTGAACATACAACACAAAGAAAGCCATTTCCAAATAATTCTCATCCGATACATGTCAGCTTATAAAGATACATTGCTCAGAACTTCATTTGTAATTTCTTAATTTGTTTTTTTGTTAAAGAATTGGAACATGATCAACGTGTTATTTACAATGTACATGTACTCTTGAATCTACTCAGAGATGCACAATGTCCAATTACATTTGTTTGTAATCTTTAGCAGTATCAAGGTGGTTTGTGGGGCAGAGAATAGCGTCTGTTCCCGTTTTGCTTCCCTACCTTGCTACACTAAAGGGTTGTTTCAAAATGACATGTTTTACAAGAATAACTGGCGATAAAAGCCTTTATTGCAAAATAAAGACCACAGCTTGTTCAGCTTCTATGAAACATCAGTTTGCTTAGAACAAAAATGGGTTGAGAACACACTTATTATTACAAACCCCTTTTTATATCTCCATTTCCACTTGATTTCCAGTCGTCAACTTAAATGACACAGGCTCAATTCACGAATAGCTAAACTTCAAGGGAAGCATTTGAGCAGTGTTGAATGGAAACAAAAAATGGCTAGAGTAAAAAAAGAATAAAAGCAAGGGGCCTTTGCCGAGTGCCTGAGAACGCTTAAAATTGCTTGTTTAATTCCAAAATTATTTGAGCAAACACTTGAGTGTGCATCCTCATGTCAGAAGCTGCCAGGCTGTGATTAACAAGGCCAAAACTGAATTACTACAAGTCAGAGTGAGAATACAAGTAGTTACTACACAATACGATTCCACGGAGCTCCGAAAATCTTTATAAATACAGCCATAGGAAGGACGGTCTTGAGTCAGGAAGATTTATTTATTCGGTGTGTGTAGCTGAGAACAAGAAGCAGGTACAATGTAAAGAGACTGCAACAGTAATCATAGCTTCCCCTTCCTGTCAGAGCAGAGCAGCGGCATGAACTGACTTGTATTGCAACAAACCCTTGGTTTTATCTGAACTGGGACCACCTATTCCTCACGTCTAAGACCTGATCTGTATGATGTATGACACTAAAGACTGAATTTAGTACTCTCGTAAAAGGACAGCAAAATGCAAATATGTTGCAACCAGTTTTACAGCTAGAAGCAAAGTAATAGCGCATCCAGCAACAAATACATTAGGAGTGGGAAGCCCAAGTTACTTCCACTCCTAATCACACTGGTTATCGGTAGAGGAGTTTTTTTGAATGCACAACTGAATACATACAAAAAAAATGTTCAATATATTGATTGTTAAAGAGCATATTGATTATGCTACTGACTGAACGTTGGTCCCTTAAAGGTTTAATGCTTTAACGTTTAATGTCCCTTAATATTTTCAGGAGATTCAATCCCAAGAATGCTTAAGCAAACACCGAATTGATCTGCAGACCTGCACTTACGCTACAGCATTGCGAATCAACATGCTGACAGAATCACCTGCTCAACGTGGTCTGTCTCAGCGGCTAAGTTCCGGCTTGCTTCACTCTGATCACACTCTAGCACAACATAAATTTTGAACACCTTCCCACATTCCTATCAAGGATGTAAAATTATGGGGAAACAAGTGAATGGAGACCTGACTTTTTGTTACCCATTGTCTGATACAAAACTATTCGGTATGATTAGAATGCTCAAGTCGATAAGAATGCAGTCACTGCTGAACTATTGGTTTTGTTTCAAAATGACATTAGGTAAATCGATCTTCCACAAAGGCGATTACAAATCCATTTATCCAAATGCCCCATGAAAGATATGCCAAGCAGAACAGATTGTAAAAGTTTAGAAGTCAGACTGGCCTGTGGTTACAACATAGAAACATATGGCTCTAGTTCAAATTAATGCTGTTCAACTTCTGTCATTCATTACGTTATCAAGCTCGTGACACTGAGTCGCAGTGATCAAGCACTATGCCACAGCACGGCTCAAGAATCAGTTCCAAGCAGTATAAAAGGGTCCTTCAGTTTGATACCAATAGACGCTTAGGACAAGAGCCTCCCATCAGTGGAATGCTACCCCTTAGACGTAGTTTAGGGGCACTACAGAAAAAAAATCCATGCAATGTCGTATTCATGTCTTAGGACTTTTGCGTATTCAAGTCAACGGTCGAGCAACACAAATCCTTTGTGAACAATGTAGTTTTGCAGTTAACGTTGCTAACTGGCAGTGAACACTACATGATCATTCCTATGAGGTCATTATTCAGTCAACAAAATATTTTCAGGAATATATGGTAGTAACAGCATATCCCATTTCAATAGCACATACCTTAGCTGTCATAGCTGTCCCTGTAGGAACCACTATAGCTGCCTTGACTCCTAGGAAAAACGAAAATCCCTGTAGTGTTTTGCATATCACATCCGAAACAAATAGTTGCTCATTAAAATTCATGTCACTCTAATAACAACTTGTATTTATATAGCGCCCTACATGCAGGGTGGCGTTCCAGAGTGCTTCACCATACTTAAAGCAAATTAAAACTAAATATTCTCAATTTAGCTAGAAATAGCAAATAAATAGAGATAAATCTACCTGTCTCGGTTATAATAGTCTCTTCCTCCTCCCGCAGAGTAGCTTTTTTGTCCATCATAGCGACCGACATAACCTCGATCTCCACCTGCATAAGAATCCAAATAGTGCTAATTGACAACAACCCGTGAGACAAAGGTGCATGGTGAATCGAACACTTAACAATTGCAACACGCGTAGAATGCATTTATGCAGCGGCTCCAGAAACATTTCAGTACGTGCAGAGTTTGCATATCTTTGAAGTGAGTGGACAAGTGGCAGACGTACAGTATTTTTATACAAATAAAATAAACATTTTAATACTATGCATCCTAGGCAATGATGAAGAATATGGAATTGAGCAGTTTTTATTATTATTTATTGTTATTATTACATTATACACTATATATAGACTAAGATACCTCTAGAATACCCACGTGATCCACGACCTCCTCTACCACGATACGGACCTCGGCCACCTGCCGGACCACCCCTATAGCTCCGCTGTCTGTCTCCAGAGGATTTGCCCGCTTGATCCACTCTAATCTGACGCCCATCGATAGACTAAAAGTTGGAGACAGTATCAAGTATTTAACCGCCACTGAAATTAGCGCTATGTCAAATACAAATTCAGTTAGTTTTGTTAAGAAAATACATACCTTTCCATTCATGGCCATCATAGCATCCTTTGCGTCTTCGGGGTTCTCAAACGTGACAAAACCAAAGCCCCTGGACCTCTGTGTCTCACGGTCCTTTATTACAATGACTAAAGCAGATGGAAAAAGTAAATGCTAAATCACCAAAGGCAAACTCACTGAAAGTTTCACATTCAGCTTTATAATCAAAGCACACAATCTGTGTGATTAAACATGCCTTGAAGGTAAGAGAACAAAGCTCCGTACATACGTTGCCACTTAAAACTGCAGCAAAACCTTCCGAGTTTCTCAAACAAGGTTACCCATCACCTCCCCGAGTGATGGTTGCTGCCACATTTGAGAACCGCAAGATGACCGTCTAACTGAAGCAGCAGCAAATTTCAAGTTTTTTTTAAAAAATTGGTCACTCAATCCACGACGTTTTGTGGGACACTGCTGTGAGCAATTGGCTGCTGCGTTTCACCCACAAAATACAGTCAATTCACTTTGCAGTACATTCTGTAAAGCTTTTGGGACGTCTCAACCACGTGAGATCAAATGTAAGGATTACTTTTATTAAATATAACCAAATCCCTTGCAAATTGAATCATTTGCAGAAACGAATCCTAGCTACACCCAACTTCCAGCATCATCTCACGCCATCGATTATGCATGTCAGCCTGACGCAGTCGTACTGAAGCGACATAGGGCACTATATGGCACTTCGTGGAGTCCTGTAGCTCAGTGGTTAGAGCACTCGGTTTGCAAGTGAGAGACCTGGGTTCAATTCCAGGCAGAGGGCGAAACCTCGGGCAAGTTTCCTTACTCCACACAGAGCCTAATAATAATCCCTCCAAAACCAAAAACAATAATAAATTGGTCATTTTCAATCCACGACTGTTTGTGGGACATTGCTGTGCGCAATTGGCTGCCGTGTTCGCCCACAAATATACAGTCAATCCACTTTACAGTGTGTTCTGTGAAGCGCTTTGGGACGTCCTCCCGACGTGAAAAGCGCTATAACAAATGCGAGGATTAAATTAAATATATCAAACTCGAGCTTTATTATTATTATTATTAGAATCGGAGCGGTCAGGGCGCAGACAATTGGCGAGTAAAAGCGGCTGCTGACAAGCCCGGGAGATGGGGGATGGGAGGGAAGGAGAAATGGGAGGGGGAGATGGAAAGAGCAGCTGCCGGTTTCGGGGGCCAGTTGCCCACATTACACACACACACTGGGCGGCCACTCCTCACCTTCAGAGATCTGCCCGTATTTGGAGAACACGGACTCCAGCGAATTCTCGTTGGTGTCAAAGTTGAGACCACCGACAAACAGCTTTCCTTCGTCCGACATGTTTTCTGACGCACCTATTAATGGGGAGAGAGATGGGGGGGGGGGGGGAGAGAGATGGGGGGGGGGGGGAGGGAGAGTGGGGGGGGGGAGAGAGAGTGGGGAGCAAGGAGAGTGGAGGGAGGAGTGGGGGGAAGGGAGAGAGGGGGGAGAGAGGGAGGGGGGAGAGGGGGGGAGAGGGGGAGAGAGTGGGAGGGGGAGAGGGGGGAGGGAGTGGGGGGGGAGAGGGAGTGGGAGGGAGGGAGGAGAGAGAGAGAGAGAGGGAGTGGGAGGGAGGGAGAGAGAGAGGGAGAGAGGGAGTGGGAGAGATAGAGAGAGGGAGGGAGTGGGAGGGAGAGGGAGAGAGAGAGAGGGAGTGGGAGAGATAGAGAGGGAGGGAGTGGGAGGGAGAGAGAGAGAGAGAGAGAGAGAGAGGGAGTGGGAGAGATAGAGAGAGGGAGGGAGAGGGAGAGAGAGAGAGGGTTAGCGGCGGCGAGCGGTTACTGTCGGGCTGCTGTGCGTGTGTGTGTCGCACTGCGGCAGGATCCGGGTCCCGCCGCTCGCTCACTCGCTCGCTCGAGCGGACGGACGGACGGACAACCCGCCGCCATTTCGCGCGCTGCTGCTGCTGCTGCTGCTCTCTGCTGTGGCTTTGTGTGGCTGCCGCCATTTTGTGCGGCGGCGGTGGTGGTGATGGTGGTGATGGCGGCTGCGCCCCCTCCCCACCGCTCGCGCCCCCTCCCCACCGCTCGCGCCCCCTCCCCACCGCTCGCCATTTCAAAGCGAGAGAAAGAACAAAGAGGGGGTCCTGACGGCCGCGGTCTCCAACGCCCCCCACACACACACACCCACCCACACACACTGTTTGTACACACAGTGACGACTGATGAGCAAAGCAATAAAGATGCGCTCTGCAAAAATGTCGGTATTTACCACAGGGGCCGCCCCCCCCCCCCCACACACACACACACACACACACCGCCCTCCAGTCGGGGAGTCGCGACGCTGTCGCTGTCACTGTCCGCGAACAGCTGTTGCGGTAACCGATGGCGAGAACCGAGAGAGAGAGAGAGAGAGAAGTCACTCACTCAGTCAGGCCCTCAGTCGCTGGGATGAGCCGCCGGTGGGAAGCGAGTCCGAAGGTCGAAATGGCAGCCCACCGCCGCCTGCCGGTATTTATAGACACGGTCCCCCTGCCCCGGATGCATGGGTCTGCGCATGCTCGCATTGACCAGAATCCCCCCCCCACCCCAACACACACACACACGTCTCTATTCCCCACCAAACGCAAGGCGCCTGTGCCCCCCCCACCCACACACAGGGTCTCTACCCCCCCCCCACACACACACACAGGGTCTCTACCTCCCCCCCCCACCCACACAGGGTCTCTACCCCCCCCCCCCACACACACACAGGGTCTCTACCCCCCCCCACCCACAGAGGGTCTCTACCCCCCCCCCCACCCACACAGAGGGTCTCTACCCCCCCCCCCACCCACACACACACACAGGGTCTTGCTACCCACCCTCCCATACACACACAGCGTCTCTTTACACCACCTCACACACACACAGCACGTCCCTCTATCCCCCCCCCCCCCCCGCACACAGCGTGCATCCATCAGCCATCAGCTCTATAATCGCCCCCCTTCCACTCCTCTCTACCCCCTACCCCCCCCCCCCCCACAGCAGCCGGTGGAGACTCTGCTCCATCACAAAACCCTTCAAACTGCAGCACACACTGCCGCCTTGATTGGTAATGGTGACCAACAGCATCAATAATAATAATAATAATAATAATATTATTATTATTGTTGCGTTAACACTCCACAGCACCGTGTGCCTCCCGGCTCCCTCCCCGGGACAGTAACAAACCCAGGCCCGGCCTTCAATCAGGTCCTTCTGTGTGTGTGGGGGCCGCTGGTGAGCAGTGAAACTGGGCCCTGTCCTGGTAAGGAGTCGGGATTTGCCTTATTGCAAATTCATTAAGAGCAGGTCCTGTGATTTAAACACCAGCCTAGCGTGGGGGGGGGGGGGGGGGGGGGGGGGGGGGGGGGTGACATCAATAGTGTAATCTGGTCACAAGAGTTTCAGGAGTTTTTGACCGAAAATATCACACTTGGTGCGACAGGGCACGAACCCCTGAGTTGGGTCACTGCCACTCAAACCTCAAGAGTCATCCAGTTTAAGCATGACACCTGAGTTCAGGTCAAATACTTATTCCCGTCTCCACTTATTTTACACCAGGTGCTTTTGGATTTACAATAGCACTTGCATTTATATAGCGTCTTTCATGTCAGAACGGTCTCGAAGCGATTTTAGTGGTTATTACCAATGCTATCGTCCATAATACTTGGCCTAAATTCGGTCGCCCAGCGACAAAACTGGACTACAATAATGATCCTTGCATTTGATGTAGCGCCTTATCACGTCTTCAAGACGTCTCAAAGCCTTTCACAAAATATCATGTAAAATTAATTGACTACGTATTTTGTGGGCAAAACGTGGCAGCCATAACAGTTTTGACTACAACATCCTTAAGAATATTACAGCCAAACACAGCACAACATCGTAAAGCAATTTTGCTGCTCCACTATTGAAAACGTAAAAGCTTAAGATGCCAAATAAGTATTTCCTGACAAAAACACACCTCAACTCTAAACAATGGGGACAAGAGGCATTTACGTTGCGAAAAAGACTACTTGTTTTTCAAGAGCACCCCAGACAAAATATACTGCATTAAGAGACAACCCTGTACTGCAGGTAAACAATCTAAAGACCGTGTTTCAATTATGATCACAGTCAAAAAAAACTGCAATGCTTCAAACACAAACATCTACCAGTCGATTATGAGGCTAAGGCCTGGATGACATCTGATATCCAATGGTGAAGCGGAGGGGACCACGGTCAAGCAGGAGGCCAGAGCCAGCCGAGCAGAAAACATAATCATTGTTCGATAACTATTCTGCCCACCTTTAGGTCAACGGTCTAACAGGCCATTAAATTGGTGTTTCTTCCGCCAAACACCACATCCTTAATCCAGCCAATGGATCAAGGAATTATCCAGTTACTGAAAATTTAGCTCATATAAAGTTGAGGCCAAGGAAGTTTCCCGAAACCCAATTGGCGATGCGCAATTTCAAAAAGGCTTGGGCACTGGTAAAACCAGAGGCAATTCTGAATTGCTTTATGCTTTTATCTCAAACCACGATGACTTACATGGATTTTGTACAGAATTGTGAGGATAGCCCATAAGAAGCCGAGGTACCTGAAAATGATTTTTTTGCCAAATCCTTCTTTGCATGATGTCATGCAACGAATGATTGTGAAAGATTGTAGACCTTTATTGTTCAATCCTGTAATCAGTTGCTACTACCTCAAGTGATATTCGGTTATAATGTCTCACTTGATATTTGAATCTTTCCTTTCCCTCTACAATCGTGATGAACATTATTTTAACTTGCAATCCCTCCAAAACTACATTTCTTCAAAAGCAGATTTTTTAAATGTCCTTCAGTTGGCTCAAACGGAAAGCTGTGTCTGACGATTTCTCTGCCTTTAATCTGTTTAACCATTCTCACATTAATCCCATATTTGCAGTTTGAAGTCTTTTCCATTTAATTCAGACCCTAACAAATGTAAATCAGAATAATATTTGCTTCCTCCAAAAATGGATCTTGGGGTATATAAAGTACATTTGTTTTGATCAACTAAATCCCAACCTTGGTGTGTCAACTGGCCTACTAAAGTCTGTAATTAATTCCTTTCTCATTTCATTAAAGATGGCTTTGTTAAAGACCAAGTTGCTTGCACACCACACACTTGCCATTTCAGGCTCTTTTACCGCTTGCTTCCCTGTTGGTTCTAATATGTACTGGACTTAGGAAACAAATCTGCAACAACTTCAAATCAATCAATCAACCCACTTTTTATTGATTTGGTTATTCTTCTGCAGCAAAGTCAAGGCAGCTCTTGCTCTGTAGTCTCCTGTGGAGTCTCTCTGGATAGCTCCATTGCTCCAAACGAGGACAGGATGACTCAGTAGAAGTGCTCAGTGCACCTCTGTGAGAAATTAAGCACAGGGTTTCCAAGGCACAATGCCAGATTTACATTGTAAAAGAGTTCATTTCGCAACAGTGAGGACCAAGCATGCTCTTGTGTTTTGGTTACTTACATCTTGCAGTACATAGGTAGTTTGGGACATATGTGCATGGTCTTTTTCTCGTCTAGCATTTCCTATATTCTTATCTGTCCATCGTCCCTCTGACACTAAAACCTAGCAGAGCTGAATGAAATCTAACACGCTTTTACACATCACAAGTTGCCTTGGCCAATGCCTTCTAGTATTTTCTTCCCAAATGGCAAACTATGATCTGGAACATCATTGCATCTGCAATGTGCAAATTCCAGCTATCGGCAGTAACAGATCACTGACTGATATTAAAGGACCCATCTGAAACCATAGGCAATTTCTTTCTTCCACATACCTCTGTTTAACTAGTAGTAAATAGGAACTCAGTTATCAATTGGCAAATCACTTTCCAGGGGCAATAATCCCTCAAAAAAATTGCTAACTTGATCCACAACTGTGAGCAATTGGCTGCCACGTTATGCTCACAAACTAGTCAATCCACTTTACAAAATATTCTGTGAAGCGCTTTCAGATGTCCCAACGATGTGACAAGGCGATATATCAAATGCACAGAATTATTATTAAACCCTGATAAATTGAATGAACTATTGATTTGTAGAAATAAATCCTAGCTACAACTTACTTCGCACACCCATCCATGTCAGCCTTTCGCAGTGGTAGTAGAGCTGGCCTTCGAGACAAAGGGTTGTGGGCAAACTGGCTGTCATGTTCGCCCACAAGACAGTCAATCCACTTTACAATATATCCTGAGAAGCGCTTCGAGACAGCGACGAATGTAACAGGGTGCTATACCAACTGCAAGAATTATTATACATGTCCATCACCTCCATGATTCGACTTCTACAAATTCCAGCTGTGAGTACACATTTAGTCAACCCCATCTCCCCCCAGCCCAGTCTTTGTGAAGCGCCTCAAGATGTTCTCTCTACACAAGGCGCTAAACTGCGAATTGTTGTATAGAAATATTTCTATATAGTACTAGACAAACACTACAACAACAACATTGCATTTATAGAGCGCCTTTCACATCGGGAGGACGTCCCAAGGCGCTGGACTGTTGGGTCAGGACCCAAGCAGGGGGGAAATGGTCAGGGGGAGGGGGTAGAGAGTCGAGAGGGGAGCTGACGGCACGGTTGAAGAGAAAGGTCTCGAGACCGGCCTTGAAGGAGGAAAGGGAGGAAGCGGCGAAGGCACTAGGGGATGGAGTTCCAGAGCCTCGGGGCTGAGAGGCTGAAGGCCCGGCCACCGATGGTAGGGCGGTTGGGGCGGGGGACGTGGAGCAGACCAGAGCTATATATCAAAATAGCTTTTCTAAGCTTCTGCGATTTGGGTAACACTTAGAATGATACAATTCAGCTTACCTTGCATTTATTTCCCGTCATGCTTTCCGGTATCTTAAGCAGCATTAACTTCCGACTGCTCCAGGATTAATTCCACACTTCAGGTTTGAGTTTATTCTGCAATATCAGAAAAATCTGCATTTAACTTTATTGCGGAGGATAAACCATTACGAAGCTTCAACATGCTAACATATACACCAATATTCCACCTAACTCAAAAATTCTGCTTCAGTAGAAATGGTTTAGTCATCTGACAGCTAAATTCCAAAGTATTTTTACACTTATTCCTATTGCACAATTCAAAGGGCGTTTCATGTTTAAATTTACAAATGGAACAGTAGCATTGTAAACTACACTACAAAATAAATGCAATTTGACAGCATACTCAATGACAAATGCTTTGAATTTGTCTTCATGCAATGGACTAAAGACTACACACACTTGGATGAAATATGAAAATAAACGTAGTTAAGATACGCACGTACAAGAAAAACGTTGGGAATAATTTGCCAATTTAAGATGAATGCAATTCAAAAGGTTTATGCTCAATTGTACAAAATGGCAGGAACGCTTGCTCGTCAGGCATTTAATTCAAGTTTGGATGGCTCGGGATTGCAGCCATCTTGGTCTGAAACACTGGTCCTCATTGAAGGAATAGCAGCTGTTCTGGGACACACAGATCTTCCATGCTCACATGGAGAACATCCAAAATTGACAGGTCTCTGTATTCTTTGAAACTCGATTTTATATATAAAAATCTTCCCAATAAAGATGGGAAACAGTCAAGTACTTTGGATATAACTCGTTCCCTCTACACATTCCTTTCTTTGTTTGGCAAATGTAACGTTCGTTATATGAAACAAAGCTCAGTGATCAGTTTCATAGCACGTCAAAAGCTCATTAAAATTTTCACCCAATGGCAACAAGCTGACCATTTCAAGGCGTTGGTTAGTTCGCTTCAGTCAGTACACAAAGAGGGCAACTTTTGGGAAGCATTCAGAGGTCAAGGAGCATAGTCACTGGAATTTATTGAAGTGCATCACCAGAAATGTTTTAACCAAATGGAAACGTGGTCATTGTATGAGAGCAAAATGGAGTTACCTCAAGGCTACGATTATATCCATTGATGTATTAGCCATAAGCAGCTGAAGTTTCTTTGCAGGAGAATACTTCATTCTTCAGTGCCATTATTTTCACCAAAGCGATCAAAAATCTTTATAGATATCGTAAAGCACATAAAAATATTTTTTGACAGCTAATATGGGATTCAGTTGCAACTCAAGGTGTCGGCTGTTCATTTACTTGGCATAAATACAACAATGAAAGAACAAAGTCTGAGAAAGGGGATTAATGATGGCAACATTTCAGAGGGAACAGATGAATTGAACTACGAATCTCAAGAGTACAGGACTTATTTGTCAACAGGAATGGATTTGTCCACCTATAACACATTGAAGTATAAAAGAAAATCCTCAGAAATATCCTTCCCTCAGAAAATCAAACTGTGTTTGTGATTTCCCTCAAATAGATCAGCAATTGTTTTTAAAAACATACTTGTGTGCACAAGCCAATTATTTGTGGTAAATGGGGATTGCAAAATATGCTTAAGCTGCTCGTCTGGTTATTCATGAAGCTAAACCACAAGAATTTTTCTACCAAAGGTTTAAAAGCAAAATTTGGCCACGTTAATTCCTACATATAATCGTTGCAGTGATAAGATCGAACCCATTACATTAAGTCTATATAGTTGTGCTGTGTATCCAATATAAAGAATCAAGTATAAGACACCATTCGACACCTTGCCTTGAAGCTGGTTGCATTCAGCAGCTGACACTTTTCAGAAAAGTTCCAATTTCGATAAGAATACCTCTTGACCTTAATTCAGATAAAATTCGATAAATTCAAACACTTGCTGTGTAAATCCCCCAAAGCAAACATCTTACAGAAACATTCATATGAAACAAATAATTGAATTCATTTAAATAGTTGAATTAAAAGCTACAAAAACAGTTCAATCAAAATCTGAGAAAGCAGGGGTACATCACAATACAGGATTTTTTTTAAAAAAAGTCTCCTACTGATGTCAGATTATCTGCTGCTAACTTTACTGAAGTAGCAAGGGGAGGATACTGCCTTCAACACACATGCATTTTTCTTCTAGTAAAATTTCCACTTCTATCCTTTTGCCACAGTAAAATTGCATTAATATAGGCAAAGTTGTATTTAGAAATAAAATCTCACGGGCAAACAGAAATTGACTAGCCTAGAAAATTACAAGACACCTATTCTACGTTTTGTGTACAATTTAAAATCTACATAAAATTTGGACAGATACTTTACCCAATGTGTGTGAATTTTAGTAGCTAACTCACTTAATGAACACCTGTAGTTTGATTAAAGGCAAATGAGAATCATTAGGCAAGGTTCTTTAATCAGTCTCCAAAAAAAGCAAGTTTCTGTACAAAGTGTTCCATGCTAGGGCATGAAATACATCAGGAATATGTGACCAACTTTCTATTAGTATACAATTTTGAAAAACAAGACTCCACATTGGCTTATAAAAGAAACACCATTTTCTTAAGCAGTATCTTAACAGCTAAACCCTAAATACGTGACATTCAGCAAGTGGACTTTTGAACATTCCACCCAAGATAGTTTTCAATGACAGACAGAACTACTGAATGCTGATTTACCATCAGGAAAGCAATCCTAGTGAATGGTATTTCAGGAAAAAGGTTGTTTGTTTCCACTTGAATGCATTTAATACGCCGCAGCTTTTGTGATCTCGGTGTTCACATTGGTAAAGTCTACGTTTCAATCATCTTAAAAAGTCACTGACACTTGTGCAGCATTTTGTGAACTTGGTACTGAAATAGCGAAATCCAAAAGGCCCCGCTATCAATTTGATTGGAATTAAGTGAATGGATTGTGAAGAATAAGTGTCCCGAGGACTGGTTCAATTTCAATATAAGACAAAAATGAAGCAACTAAACTGTACTTCACAGCCACAGGCTCCGGGGGGAAAACAATTGATTGGTGTTATATAATAAATATGTTTAATAGGTCATTTGTGACCTAAAAGTAAATGCACATTCAGGTCAGAAGCCATGAGGCTGTCATTTTGATAACATTATAAACAAGCAACAAATTCAGAAGACATCTGCTTTCTGTAGTTCCAGAACTCTACAATGGAGCCAAAAGGAGGATGATCTTGAGTCGGGGAGATTGTTTATTCATATGTAGTTGTAGCTGGAGGAGAAGCAGGCACAATGTAAAAAGTTTGCAACACATTTGTATCATTCAGCTTCTCCATATTCTATTAGAGATGGTAAAACAGCACTGATTGGCAAGTTTGCCTTCCTTTTAATATCATACTCCACTGCATGAAATCCAAGTACTGAACAGGCTGGAACCACAAGTACATTCAACATATAATCAGTTGTGGACAAGGTTACTGGATGTCATTTCCAACTGCTAGACTTCAACGTTTGCGGCTTTTTGGGAGTTATTAGCAAGGAAGATAGAAGACCAAGACACAAAAGCACACCTCCTACCACAGGATACAAAATACTGATAAGGCCATGGAAAGGTCCACACTAAGAAAGCATCATCCTCTTGGCTGAAAAATTATGCAGTGCCATAAGGCTTTAAGTAGAGTTGTATCAAGTGGAAGAGAATGCGAGATTGTTCTGATAGCCCAAACTCCAGTGCTCCACTCCCAAACTCAGTTGAAGAAAATTCAGGAATCAAACCATTCAATGGAGCATTACAGAAATACTGGACATGATGGCGGTTGGGAAAGTGAAAAAATGAAGAGTTGACCATTCACAGAACTTCCCGATAAGCACAACATGCACATCATTAACCAATAATGGAAATAATGAAGAAAATCTAATTCAGTCTGTTCTTAAAATAGCCTAGAAAACAGTGATAAAAAAGGTATCCATCCGGTTAAATCTTCCCAAAAGGAATGCTTACACATCATAAATGCATCAACAGCAGTTTTCCTCAGAGGGCAGTAACCAACCAAAATGAGTCATTCATAAGTCTCTAGTCACACTTGACCATTCAACTTCCTAGCCTTCTGACATACACAAAATGTTGCTAGGAAAGCAGCACATGTATTTAATGCAATAAACTTCAACCAAATGAATGTGGAAGTAGGAACCAACTAATTCAATATTTTAGATCTTTAAAGGTCTTTACTGTTCAATGAAAGTAGAAGTCTAGAACTAGAAGATCCAATGGTTTATTGCCCCTTACACATACTGTGTACAGCCTGGTTTAAAAAACTACTCAATTTAGAAGCCTAGGTTGTTTTCAAACGTCCAAATGATCAGTTCACATCACAAAAAGCAGGATGAAGGCCTAATTACACTTGATTAGGATATGCAGGAACAGCTGTGTTTTGAAATTGGTTCTATAAAATGTCATACAGTTCATGTTACAGCAACTCAGAATGGCTATAACAGAAGCTAATCAAATGCAGGAGTTCATGTGGCAAAGCACAACGCATTAAGAAATTCACCAGTTATGATGAGAATCTGCAAAAGAGCTGCGTTAATAGCACAGATTACCATTTTACTTTATCATTTTAAATCCAGATATAATTACTAAGATTATTATTACATATTGACTTACCATAACTGTCATAATCATCCCTGTAGTTCTTTCCAGATGATCCAGATCGACCATAGTTACTTTGACTCCTACCAATACAAAATATACATTTTTAAAACATGCAGTACAAAGAAGTGTACCACCAATGAATAAAAGCAATAAATACTTACCTATCCCGGTAATTGTCTCTTCCGTAGCTCTCTCTTCCATAGCCGCCGCCACCGCTGCCGCCTCTGGAGCTGCTGTATCTCTGATAGCCACCGCTGCTGCCACCGTCTGCATATTAACAGGTAATTAAAGAATTGAACAATTAAAAAGTTTCATGTGGACAAACAAACATTTTACAACATACCACAAAATCCTAGGGTGCAAATTCAGTAAGTCTAACAATCAGTTTTATTACACCAATGCCCCAAAAGGCACAACAGTACGTTGAAGTGAAATCCCAGTATTTGAACCGCTGAGACACACAACTGCCCACCCCCAATGAATAACATTACCTCTTGAGAATCCACGACTGCTTCTCCCACCACGGAATGAATAATTGCCATAAGACTGCCCACTTTGATAAGATCGAGATCTGTTCCCAGAGCTCTTCCCTGCATGGTCAACTCGGATCTGACGACCGTCGACAGTCTGGAAAAAAAATCAAAGAAATGAATGAGATTTCACAAGAGCAGCAGCAAGATTCGTTAAATTGCTTTGCTGCTTTGCCTTCTTAAAAAAATTCTTAAGTGGATGGCCACCACAGGACAGGTTAAGACAAGTTTAACCCAAAGAGTAATTACATTGGAATTCAGTTCATATGATCATCAGTGCTAGTGGTGCAGTTGTGATAAGGGATTCGCAACAATGGAGCTCTTATATTTTATATTATATTTGGGCAAGAAGAAGTCACCCACAGGAACTTCACCTCAGGATATTAAATGGTTGGATAGTGGATGCACCTACCAAAAACTGTGCAGTTTGGATAAGTACATGGATCATTTTATTTAAATTTCCATAAACCTAATTGAGCTTCTGCTCCCTTCAAAATTGTTCAAAACACAAACAACCAAAGTTTAAGTGCACCCAAAGAGTTAAATCTCTCTACCCACACAAAAAATATTTTAAAGAATTACATACCTTTCCATTCATCCCTGCCAAAGCATCCCGTGCGTCATCAGGATTTTCGAAAGTGACAAAACCAAACCCTTTAGATCTCTGAGTATCTCTCTCCCTAATTACAATGACTAAACCAGGCAGGGGAAAGAAAAAAGGGACAATTTAGGATTCAATTTTTAAATTGCACAGCATTTTCTAAGACAAAGTAGTTGATGACATATTTGGTTTCAGATAATTTGGTATTGAAAACTATTAACACAGCAATTTAAAGAAGACTTCGTGAAAATTGTCTGCTCCATGCAAAGCTATATCAACTGCAAAATTGACTGGCTGCCACTCCTTTAAGCAAGGATGCAAGTAAGTAAACACATTCATAGCGTAACAGTGACAACTCACCAAAGTTCTAACATTTCATTAAAACAAAATCCAGAGATAGGCTAACCTAACATTGTAGAAGTCACAATTTTTTAAACCAATAGGTTTAAGTACAATTTTGTCCTAATATATATATATAGTCTCAAAAACTACAGGGTAACCCGTCTCCAAACCCCTCCCCTCTTGCGCCCTTTTGCATCCTAAGAGAGGTATAAAGGTAACTGAAAAGGGAGAAAGAATGCTTCTTGAAATAAAGACAAGTACGCATTGCATCAGTAACTCACCTTCACTAACATCCCCATACTTTGCAAATACTTCTTCCAGTGTTTGCTCGTCTGTTTCAAAGTTAATGCCACCAACAAAGAGCTTTCCTTCATCAGACATGTTGACTTATTCTGTAAAAGTAAATTTAAATCATGCAAATTAGTATATTCGTCTGTTAACCAAAGCCGTGAACAACTAGGGTTGATGAACCTCAGAAAGGAAGTAGAAAGCATAGTTGCAGATTCAGGGACATTTCCATATTTAGGTAATTTACAAATGCGGAACTAAGCCTGGTTTGTGTGGTAAGTACGTCAACAGATTACCGCATGTATCAGGACACTCGACTGTTAACAAAAAAACTTCACCAAAACTGACACAAGTTTAAATGACAGACCATGAAATGAATGCAATGCAATTTTTTGTATTGTACACAATATTCATTTTGCAATTCCTTGGTGTGACTGTGCAACGTGGAGAACCAGATGTCTTTTGGGCGCAGCATAAATCTAGCATCAAGTTTAAAATTTGTAACACTATTGCCCAAACACTTGGATTAATCATCAACTCATGGACCTTGGTCCGAACCCCGATTAGAAGCGTATCAGCATTTCATTGGAAACAATACGCACACAAGAAAAAAAAACTATGTCATTTCGTAATAATAATCCTCGCATTTGACACGGAGCCCCTACCGCGCTGTTTGGGACGTCTCAAAGCTCGTCACGGGACGCACTAATATTTGCCAACAATCGCTTCTTTTTTTTTAAAAAACAAAACGGCCGCTCAAACCCCCCGGGCTGCGCGTGGGACGTCGCTGTGCGCAATCGGCTGCTGCGCCTCGCCCACAAAACACACGAGTTACTCCACTTTGCGGCGTGTTCCTTGCCAGGCGCTTCCGAGACGACCCCGAAGACACGGCAGGGCCCTACACCCAAATGCAAGGATTACTCTCCCGTCGCATTGGAGCGTATGTTAAGCGCATATGGAATATATATTGCCAGGAGAGGAGTTGGGGGTGTGTGTGTGTGTGTGTGTGTGTGGGTAGTGTTGGGGAAGAGAGAGAAAAGTCCGTTGATCCAGACCTGCTCTGGATTAAAGGAGACAGGAAGCGAGCGAGCGGGAGGGAAGGCAGGCGGGGCCAAACCCGGGCTCAGAGAGAGAGAGAGAGAGAGGAAGAGAGAGAGAGAGGAAGAGAGAAGGAAACAAATCCGCCGCCATTTTGCAGCTTCGCCACCGCCGTCGCCATTTCGCCCTCAAGTCACACGGAGCTGAGCGGCGCCCACCGGCCCGTGAGGGAGGGGAGGGGGGGGAGATGGAGAAACGGTGGCGGCGCCTGAAACCCGAGGCGGTTCATACCCCCCCCACGTTACACCGGGGAAAGAGAGAGAACATAAACAACCGCCCCCTCCCCCCCCCAAAAAAAAATAACCCCTTCATATAAACGCCCCTCAGGCGCTCACGGACCCCCCTCTCTCCCCCCAACGCTCCCCCACGCGGTTATTTTACTTTAAAAATAACACTTTTTTTTTAAGAGAGAGGGGGAGTTTCCCCCCTCTTCACTTATTCAAAAAAAAGGAGAACTACGTGTTTTATTAAAAAAAAGGGGAAGACGCGAACAAAGTAGTAAAAGTTTTGCTCCCCTCACCCCCCCCTCACCCTCACCACCAAAAAAAACTCCACACATCCGATTAAAACACGAACCCCTCTGTCCCCCGATGGGGTCGAAAGAGAGAGAGAGAAAAAAAACTTTTTTTCTTTCTCGACCTATACGCATACAAATATATATATATATGTGTTGTTGTTGTTGTATATATATATGTAAATAAATAAAACAACAAACTTTTAAATAAATCGAAAGGAAAGAGAGAGAGGAGGGAGGGGAGGGGGGGGGGGGTGAGAAGCCGATCGATCGACTGACTGACTGACCGACCGCTCGCGCCGCCGCCACGTTTACTCCCCGGGACTAAACTTAACCGCCAAAAATAACCGCCTCAAAGACAACAAAACTCCTCTCGTTTCCCCCCCTCCTCTTTCGTTAAGAGAAGGTAAAACGGAGGGGGGGGAAACGGGTGAATGTTTACGCTCGTCCCGGGGAGGGGGGGGGGGTTGAGTCGGGGACTTTTGCCCGCGGTGAAGCGCCTCACTTACCGGGCGTTGTGCTCGGCCGCCAACTCCTGTCGCGCTCTGACTGCAAGGTAGGAAAGTAGCCCCGGCTCCTCCCCTCCCGCCCGCCACCGCGGCCAACGGTTAAAAAAAACACACTAACCCGCACCGCGCAGGCGCCGCGCACTGATCTGGCCGGCAGCCCGCGCGCAACGCCCACGTCAAGCCCGCACCGCGCAGGCGCCGCGCGCTCACCGCCGCCGCTCCCCCCCCCCCCCCGATCTAGTTCCACTCCCGTCCTCAGCGCGCAGGCGCAGCGCCCGCATGAGGACCCGCTCGCCGCGCATCGATTCTCACGCAGCAGCTCCGGCAATCCGCCCCGGCTACCCTCCAGCACTGCGCAGGCGCGGCGCGCTGACATTACAGGAGGGAGGGAGAGAACAGGTGGTTGGCTGGTCCCAATAAAGGAGTCCCACTGTTTGTCATCACTTCAGTGTCATTCCACCCCTTCGCGTAGTTAATTCAACCAACAAACCGGTTCGCTTCCCTGTACAAATCTAATCGGCGCAGCCGTCAATCTCTGTGTCAAATAATTAACCTCGCAGGGACAGGAGGAGGCCATTCAGCCCCTCCGAGCCTGTTCCGACACTCCATCAGATCACGGCTGATCTGTACCTCGACTCTAGTTACCCGCCTTTGCCCCATGTCCCTGGACACCCTGACCTAACAAACATCTATCCACCTCAGTCTTCATGCGGGACACTACCCCGCGTGAAGGGCATCTTGTTGTTGTTGTTGTCGTCGTCGTCGTTGTTGACAATGTGATTGAATCGCAGCCTTTCGGGGGAGAGAGGGTTCCGGTTTTCCACTCTCCCCTTCGTGTGAAACTCAACCTTCCTGTCGCCCCCAATATTACACTCTGTGTCACTCCCCACTTCCAGTTTTTATTTGAACATAACTTGAGTTCAGACGAAATAAAGACGAGAACCTGTGGGTTTCAGCGGCTTGGGATGTCCTCCCGACGTGAAGGGCGCCACACAAATGCAATTTTCTTCTTGTTGTTGCTGTTGTAGGCGCCAAACATTGGTTTCTAAGCTTCTTTCCTTTGTTCGGGCGATTGTGAAATTGGGAACACACCCCTTTCCCGTTGTGTGTGCGAGTTAAAGCTCGCAGCAAAACCAACAAACCCCCCTCCGCCTATCTAGGAATCAACATCAGCAAAACCAGATGGGCAAAGTGTCGTTTCCACATAAACAATAGAACCATAGAAATTCATAGCACAGAAAAAGACCGTTTGTGTTTGGAATTGGGGAGGAACTGTCGGCCAGGACTCTTGGAGAGGGAAAAACTCCCTTCTGTTTTCCAATAATGCCGCGGGAGATCTTTAACTAACGTCCATGTTAAAGATTTCTCGCGGGGCTATTGGCTCTTAAGCAGCATCGCTGTGCCCAAACAAGCTGGGAAGGGTGGAGTAGATTCCAACACTCCGTTGCCGAGCTCGTCGCTAGTTACCCTCCGAAGCAGATTCTGCTTTCGAAAGTGTCGATTCTTCAACGTGAAGTTGCCAGATTCACGCAATTTGGACCCCCCAAAAAATCTTTAATGGACTTGGCGTGGGGGTACTGCGGCGCTGCATGGTGGCTACATGTGGAATGGCAAACACAACACCGGGTACAGTCAGACCAGCCCATGGGGTTAATACACTAAATAATAAAAATAATAATAATGCTGTTTGTGGGACACTGCTGAGCGCAATTGGCTGCTTCGTTTCATCCACAGTCACTAGACTTTACAGTAGATCCTGTAAAGCACTTCGAGGCTCTTCAACTACATGGCAAGGCGCTATATCAAATGTAAGGATTTTTATTATTAATAATAATGATCCTTCCAATATCAATCTCTCTTTCTCTCTCTCTCTCATGACAGGACGCTGTCACAGTGCGCTAATCAGATGCCTTGTTTACCTCCAAAACACACAGTAAAAATCCCGTGAAACCCTTTGAGATGTCCTCCTGATGTGAAGGGCACCGTATCAAATGTAAAGGTTATTATTATTATTATTTAATTGCTTGAAGTGTGATTAAACCGCATTTTGGACTCAATGTCAGGAGCTGACATTTACTACGCCCACGCCACAAATAAAAAGATGCAAACAAAATAACACTCCCCCTCCTCAAAAAACAGAGTCCTAAGTGTTAAACAGCTCAGGGCTATTGCCTTGGGGGTTCAGCAAACAATGACAAGGCCCCCACCTTTCCCCCTCCCCGCCCCCGCCTGCCCACACACTGGGCTCAAACACTCTATTCAAAGTGGCTGAGTGGGTTTCTCTTTCTCCTCTATTGAATTGGGTCACCCATTGCTTTCAATTTCTCTCTCTCTCTCACTCTCTCTCTCGCCCGCCTGGACTCTAAGATCAAGTCGCCACAGGGGTTATGAGGGGGCTTTGAACCCACAACCTTCCGACCCAAAGGGCGAGCGACTGAGCCAGGCCGACACCCACGTCTGTTCTGCTTTATTGTATCTTATAATTTCCTCTGTCTCCAAACCCGAGGCAGTGCTTGTCAATCTCCTTGGCTCAGGTTCTGCCTCTGACATGTAGGCTGCGGATTTGCATGCAATGCAGCTGCCCTGGCCTTTCAACAACAACAACAACAAGATTTCATTTATAGAGCGCCTTTCACGTCGGGAGGACATCCCAAGGCACTGGACAGTTGGGTCAGGACCCGAGGAGGGGGGAAATGGTCAGGGTGAGGGGAAGGAAGGGAGGGAGCGAGGAGGGGGTAGAGAGTCGAGAGCGGAGCTGAAGGCTGAAGGTCAAAGAGAAAGGCCTTGACACCGGCCTTGAAGGAGGAAAGATAGGAAGCGGCGAAGGCACTGGGGATGGAGTTCCAGAGCCTCGGGACTGAGAGGCTGAAGGCCACCGATGGTCGGGCGGTTGGGGCGGGGGATGTAGAGCAGACTGGAGCCAGAGGAACGGAGGGTACGGGCAGGTAAGTAGGGGGATAGTAGGTCGGAGAGGTAGGAGGGAGCAACAAGAGGAAGGGATGATTAGCAGCCATTGGCATGGATTAGCTGCTGATATCTGCGCACAGAATGCACCTGTCCACTTCCTGCCTGAAGGGCGCTGTATAAAAGCGAGTTGGTGGAACGCCTCCTTCGAGGCACGTCTCCTCTTCGACCGCGCCTTGGGCCACCCTCCTAACCCCACGCTCTCTGCCCCCACCCGCCATCCTGATCCCAACCCCCAGCTCGGTTCCAATTCCCTGACTGTCCAGCGCCTTGGGACGTCCTCCCCACGTGAAAGGCTCAGCGTAAACGTCATTAGCTGTTGTTGTTGCCTACACCACAACACGTCTTTCGCACTAACACTGAAACTCCACGTAGCTGAGCTACTAAACGCTGACGTCGACAACAGAGCGCACATTAATCCTGCAAATGAATTCAATCGAGATTTTCAGGGACTGAAAGACAGCCTTGGAGTCTCTGCCCACACATAGCAGCCTCTAAATAGACATTCTGCACGCTCTACCCATCAAAGCGCTCGGCAAAATCCTGGCTACAGTGAATTTACTGTCTCCAAATAGTGCACGCTGCTGCTCTGCTAAGCAACTTTGCCTCCTTCTGCACCCGCCCACACAACACTCACACGCAATCTAAATAAACATTCTGTGTGTGCGCGCTCTCGATCTCTATCTCTATCTCTATCTCTATCTCGCTCTCGCTCTTTCTGCCCCCCCACCCCCCCCCCACCCCCACTTTCTCTCTCATTTTCTCTTTCTCTATCTTCTCTCTTCCTGCATCTCTCTTCCCCTCTTTCTGTCTTCGCCCTCTTTCTCTCTCTCTCACTCTCTTTCTTTCTCTATCTATCTCGCTCTTTCTCTAGCTCTCTTTTTATGTTTTCCCTCCATCTCGCCTCTCTCTTTCTCTCCCACTCTCTCTCACTTTCTCACCCTCTCCAGCCACTGTAAATGTATAAAAACTCCACGGATTCTGTTTCCGAGGAGATTTCAGGCGTTCGGCCCTGGGGTAAGATTGGGGGACAGGATTGGAGGCTGAATACACACTGCATCCCTTTTCAGATGGATTGGAGAGAACGCAAGAAGGACCATCATTCCCCCTCTCGCCCCCGTCCCCCCCCTGCGTGGGCGACTTCAACATCCCCGCAGCTGAGGTTTACTGATGGTTTGTTAGTTTCCAAAATAAAGCCGTGCACAAAGGCAGTAGCTGTTTACGGGTGGGCTTCAGTGTGTGGGAGTCGAGCTGCGGGGCATCATTTTCCTCTAACAAGTTCCTTACATATTCCTCGCTGTCGAAACTGCCCCCTTCACATCGGGAGGGCTTCACAGGGCTCACTGTCAAGTGTAGTGGCTGCGCATTCTTGGTGGGAGAGCAAACCAGTTTGCGCGCGGCGACATCCCCACGAAACAGCCGCAAAGAGGAATCAAGTTACGCACGTTACTCTCATTTTGCCCAGCTCCGACGTTTCCGACTCTGGTACATTCTCCCTCTCACTCTCTGCTTTGCCCCTTTCCCTCCCCATCTTCAGATCACAGACCTTCCACGGTCACCGCCCCCCTGCCCCGGCTTGGCATCGTGCTCCGCCACTGTCCAAACACTCTGGGACGCTGCCCTGTGGGATGGGGCTCTGTGTAAATGCAAGTTGTTGTCGTCGTTTCAGCTTAGGAGAAGGGGAAGTGACGGATGGGCATCAGGGAGCGTTTCGCCCACAAAATACACAGTAGGTTGACCTTACAGTGTATCCTGGGAAGAGCTTTGAGATGCCTCGAAGACCTGATAAGGCGCTGGTCAAATGGAAGGATTTTTTTTAATCTGTTTTTTGTTTTTCATTTGTTATTATTTGCGCAACAAACCAACAAAGATCCCAATTCTGGACTGTGGCAGTGACGTGTCTGAGCAGTAGGTGGCGCTCACACACCACCACCACCACCACCACCTCCTCCTCTATGGTGTGTCAGGTACAGACTGACATGTCCCCACAATCACTTCCATTCTCTCACCTCCATCCATCGCAACGCAGCCCCACATGGCCTCAAAACCCGACCCAACACAACACAACACAACCCAACACGACCC